GGTAATTTTTCAAATTAATTTCTCTACTAATTGTAATTTTCTCTTACAGCTTGAGCCTAAGTGTGATTTTTGAGGCGAAATACCCAAAAGCAAGTTTGTAAAAAAATGAATCCGCCTCAACAATATAGAACTTATGTATGGCAATGTCCAACAAGCGCAAAAGGTTGAACCTCCTTGTAGAGAGATTTTAAATAAATCCAAATTTCTACGTGGGATAAAGGCACATGTTTATTATTACTCAGATGTACTAACTTCAACTTAAAATGTCTGATGTAATAGCCTTAACGGTTTACCTATGAAATAGACTGTTTCAATAAATGCAAAAATGGATGAACTTGATTACACTAAATGGGACGTCTTCTAAAAAAACAAAGACGTTCACATTAACATTAATATACAAATATTAGACAGAAAACGTTGGAGGGAATTGAAAATTGTTAATATTTTCGGATTTACGACGAACGAAGCCCTGTGTGTTTGACCCATATTTACGTCCTGACTTCCGGACAAACTCAAACCTGCAAAGAAGTGAAATATACCTTCACCAAACATAACCCAAGCAAACATTCTGCATAAGTGATATACCTCTGTGGCCGTTATTTACGTTTCGCTTCCCTTATTTGACTCAGGTAACTAATAAATAAAACATGGACTCGCTTATGCTGTAAAAGGGCCAATTTTCATTCTCATTAATTACCAACATGATATTTTTGGGATAAGCTTGTATAAATTTGTGGGGGATACTTGCTTTAGCTAGCGATTTACCGGATATTAAATTTGTGTTGTTCTGATTTTGGGTGCGAAATCAGTAGACGTGCGAAAGGTCAAAAATGACGAATTGTTTCCATTCTCTCGGGCAATAAACTTATGCTTAGTTTTTAGGCCGGCTATTTGCTTAGTTATAACGCAAAAGTTGGTAGGATATAACAAAAATAGTCACGAATTTATTATTGACGTTAATATTAAACGGTGGATTGAAGATATGACTAGCTTGTTTCACTTTAAATTGCGTAGTTAAAATTCTAATGACGTGCTAGCTTTATCTTAAGACCTATTTTACTCTGGAAAACCGTCTTGACTAAACGCTCAAGACTTTTTCAACATTTGGTGTAATGTCTTATGATTTTACAACAAATCAAACAACATTAACTTAATGAAATGTAGCAGAAAGCAATTTAAGCAACGAAATATTCACGTGGCAGGGTTAAATAATCCAAAAGAACCATAATAGGAAAACATCTCTGTAAGGCATTATAAATCTAAATAAAACGATTAATGAAGGTACAGATGTGTCCATCAATCATTAAAAATGTTTCAAAGATTAGTTCATTTACATATATGTTACGGTATGAATAAACTTTGATTTGGCTACAGTATCAAAACAGTCAGGCTTTCGCGGCATTCATTGTTTGAAACTAGTAAGTTTCTTCAATCTTTCACGCACAGTGGTCAGAAACATGTAGAAGAAACTTTTTCCAAACGAAATATCCAAATTTAGATCAAAAAATATTTTTAATGTGACCATTTGAGAACAAAAAGCACTTAACGAAAATAAACATTACGCAAAACATCTGCTAAGGACTAACGGCTTATTACCTACTTCAACAAAAAGAAGAACCAATTGCCTAAACAAGACATGGCTCCAGCCGATTGCTAATACAAAAACAGCATAGATAGAAAACATCTCAACCCCCAACAGATCGCTAGTTGAAAAATCGCATAATTTCATTATTTCTAAAAATAACGCTATATTTCTATGAAAATAATTACTGGCAGTAAATTTAGAACAAACTCAATTTTGCTAAATAGAATTCAATAAGTTAAAAACACTTTGTGATCCTATAAATGTAACTAATTCAAAAAGGAGTATTTCCCGTCAATCGTATTTGTTTTAATTATTAAAAACTTTGAACAACTAAAAATAAAATAGACCAACTTCAATATTGTTTTAAAAATGTGACAATTACAGGGTCTGGTAAAGTTAATGAGATTGCACTGCACTGAAATGCAATAGTTGAAAATCGATTTTAATTTGGTGAATATTGCAAATTCTTTCGATATTGGATGAAATTTCGAGGGGATTTCAACGGAATTGCCATGTAAAAAGGCACTTAAAAGCACAATTTTCGTCTCTGATATTTAACTGAAATTAAAGGTTATTAAATTAGGCTCAAATTTTACAAGCGCGGTGGCCTCGGGGCCGAAAGATTGAATAAGTCGGCTTTTTTTTAATTCTCTCACACTCAACTTTAAAAACTGGAAGAGCGGCCAAAACCTTGTTAGGCGGAGGTCGCGGCAAAGTGAATTTATGACTCCGTGTACCCTTTTGCACGACACCTAATAAAACGCCCCCAACCAGACTAATTGAACGCCTAACTTATCCCTTAGCGCGTCGAAAGGCATTATGGAACATAATTTATCAAAATTTGAATTTACTTTCCCGGGTTACTGGCTTTCCGAACTTGACTCATAATTTACATGATGTGAATTTTTTATTTTCTTTGTTATTTTGGAAGATACGACACTGTTCAAGCCACCTTATAATTGGTGAAGAATCTTCGTTACATCCAGAAAGCCGGCAAAATAATTTCGGTTTCAATTGTAAAATATAGCCACTAATAGAGCATTTCATAATTCGAGCCTTTATGACACACATCTCTTTATATTAACCACGTTTTTCACAATTTTAGTCTCTACATGCTTATCGTGCATCCGCGTACATAATTTAATTAAATGAGAAAAGAGTCTAAGAATATAATTTAACACTATAATTTATTGTATTAAAATAAAATCTTCCTCAAAGCTAAGAACACAAAACTACTCTTCTTCATTGAAATAAGGTGTCGAATTTTATAAAGAACAGAAAATGGCATGTTAAGTTATCTCCTTACTCTTCACTACTTAACCAATGTATTAACACAATAAACTCAACTGGACGCAAATATCCAATTTAACCATGTGACCAAACACACTGTGACCAAACAAACCAAGTCCAAAACAACGCAAAAATAGATATGGAACTTTAAACCTATCCCAAGTATTCGCTGGAGGATAATTTCTGGAAGAACCCTCCGGGACTGGGATTCAGTAACATAGACTCTGATTAAATTGCTGTGTAGTGTCGGCCCCCCGATTTGAAGGTAAAGCAAATTTTGAAAGTTTTTTATGTTTTAAGTTTTTAGAAGGTCTTTATAAAAAGAAGAGTAGATAGTAGATGTATGAGAAATTGCTAAAAAATTAAAAGCTATCTGTACTTCCCCTGTCTGTAAAGATGAAAAATTAATGAAAAAAAGATACAAAATCACAATCTTACTTCGACATTGCTGGTGATAAGAAGCATTAAGGAAGTCGCATATTCGCAAAGGTCGTTTTTTTAGTGCAACCAGCTGCAGCATTGTGTATTTATAATAAACCGCCTATTTACGTATTATATACAAAACTATGCTGACGCTTAATATTCGCAAATAATTTAATGGACATTAAACCCTGTAATTGATCTATTTAATTATGCATATGTACGGCTAATTTGCAGCATAGATTATTATAAAAGCAATGCATTTCTAGCTAATATCACACAGGGGCACTAGGGCTATCTAAACCTCGATTACAAACGAACTAATAAACACACGAGTCTATAGATACATATTAATTGTATTAGATTTTTTCTCCATTGGTATTTCTTCTTCTTATATAGTCCTTATAAGTACCAAACTAACAATAAAAACTATTAGCTGGTTAAACGACCAACGCAACTTTTTCCAAATTAGCTCAGCTAGATCATGAAATATTGAATACATTCTATGTGTCAAATATTTTGCGATTATTTATTATTTAATGACTATTGTTATGTTATTAGCATTAACAGAACATAAACAAAAACCTTTAATTAATTGCAAGATAAAATTCAATGTTGAAATTTGATAAAATGAAACGCGCGAATTGCTGAAGTGCCAAAAAACATCTGCGCCTGTATATTATATGGAAAATAAACGCTAAAAACATACGAACCATCAGCAGCATTAGCCAAAATTCCCCGTTTAAATCAGTTGGCTTTCATAAACTTCTGCCGACATACTAACACAACAATTTAAACCAATTTACTTGATGATGGCCTCTTAATGCCTCTACTTATATTTGATATTATACTTGCCTAGTGATTTATTAAGTGAAAATTATAATTACATTGCAAAACATCTACCTACAAAGAACAAACAACAGTCTTAGTAGGAATTATTGTGAGACCTGAAACTATACAATGGGGAAGCCGACCGAAAATGAGTTGAACACTGGGCCTAAATTATGTCATTGAATTTATCAAATAAAAACTGTCGATGCCGATAAGTTTGATAGTTGCGATATCCATTATATTTCTAATGATTCGAATTTTCGTGCCCTGGTCCATTAGAATTGTTAGCTTTTTAACTCGAAAATTTTCCTTTGTACTTAAAAATATATGTTGTTTAAACATTTATCAGGTCGATCAAATGATATCTCATTCAGTAGGGATACTCACATACATATCTACGAGGATACTGGTACTTCCATTTGTAGTTAACATGCAAATTATCTCTATTGCTAATAATGCAGCTGGTTTATTTTCGGGTGAAACATGTGTATCTGCCACAAGCATTAAAACAATGCTAGTTTTGCACTCGACAAAGCAATGACAAATACTAATTTAAATGTTTACAGTAATCAGCATGCATGTTATTGGCAGGATGTCGATTTATTCCACCAACAGGCTTTAATACAATAATTTACTTAATTAGCGAAGTGTGCCATGCCATAATTTTGCTAACTTACTGTCAACAATGGAAACGAAAAGCAAAAGTTATATTTCGATTTAAAAAAATTGCCTTATAATGAATTACGCACAAAATTGAGTTTCTCCAATATACGTTAAATAAATGAAGTGATTCGAAACAATCGTTAGAAATTGTTGTAAATAAGGATTCTAGAATAAACTCGAGACTGATTGTATTTCAAGAATCGTTATATTAAAAAATGAATGTGAAACAGAAAACAGGATAACATTTGCACATCCATGACACGCAGACCATATAATAGACATATATTATTATCGCTTTATACGTAAATCCACAAGGGACCCACCGCTTACAAAGGCGAAGTGGCAAGCAGTGAAAACGCTTAGTTTTTTTAGATTTTACTATAATGTAGGTTTACTAACATTTGTCTCAAACGGGCTTTGGGGTTTACAGGTTTACAAAGGCAAAATGTGCAGAAAGACAATATTTTTACTATCCTTTCATACATTTTTCCGTTGAATGATGAAACACTTCTACTTTATACTTTATTGTGATTTATTTTCCTGACTGCGTGTAATTGTTATTATATTTTTTCTTTCCTGGGTTTCAGTCAAATTGTGAAATAAAAATGTTCATATTGTTATATGAAACAAACGATATGAACTTTTTTATTTCACATTTTGCCTGAAACCCAGGGAAGAAAAAAATATATAAACATTTAAGTATACTTTATTGCAACTGAGGTGATGTTGCAACAAACTGCAGTTTTCCACAAAATGGAGTCAAATTGCGTTGGACATGGGAAATACTATAGTATAATAATTCGTCTTAAGCCGTTTCTCTCAAAATAACGACATTTCCTGTTTTCATGTTGAATTTCATTATTAATTGATCTTGAGACATTCTATAGTAATTGAATTGGAGTTATTTGAATTGTATTCGAGCATGTTCCGATTGAACAAGAAATGGTTCCTGGTTTAAACTACTTTAGTTTGAAATTGTACCTGTCTTGAACGTCTTCGTCCGGTTAAAAACTTCCTTCCTCCTGAGTATTGTCCCTTTTTAAATGTTGAATGTTCCTTGAATTCATTTGATTTAATGATAGATTCAGTAACTTTTTGTGAAGGCGGTTGGATTGCTTCCTCTCAAATGCAATAGTCGCTTCCCAAACTGCATTTTTGGCGCTTTTGGGTGCGTGTTTTGAAGTATGATAATAAGTCCGAATCGTTTTGTGGAACTCCATAACTTTCACAGATACAGTTTCAGTAAAGCTGTTCAAATATGGCAATTTTTACCATAGATTTGAAAATGACAAAGATCTAGACCTTTCTTTCTGTTTGCCAACGCAAAAATGAGTCCAAATAAATGCTGCATCGGTTATTTATAATTGTTCTCTGCAGAGGATAACGCCATACTATGAGACTCAATTCGAACAGAAGAAACAAGTGATGATTACATGATTTAACTGGACCAACTTTGTCATTTCAATACCGGACATTGTTATTTGGTCAACGTAATGGCGAGGAACGGACGTGCGTTGATAATTACTCTCTATTGTTTGTTATTAATGAATCATTCCAAGCAACATTACACATTGAAATTATGTTATTAGAAGTAGATTAAAGCACAGTAATATCTATGAATCGCATTTCAACTAACAAAATCAAGTTGTAATTGTAACGGTAAATGAGTAGACTAGACAAATCGCATTTTAAGTACTGTTATGAATGATAATTGAATCAATGTTTTGTCTAAAAAGACACAAAAATATTATACAGCTCTACTATTTCGGCTATTTAATTTTCTTATGTAAATTCCAAGAAATATTTTATGTAACTTGATAATTCGATCAAAATAAAACTACATGCCGAACTGAAGATTGATGGTCATGTGCTGCATTCTAACTAAATTTGTTGCTGTGGGTCGGGCAGTCAATTTGTTCCTTTCGGACAATTGGCAAGCTAACTAAATTTAATCCAGATTTTTAACTGTCAGTCCTTGTTTGTTATTCGCCGTGAATTTTAAGTAACTTTTTATTGGTGTTGAAAAAAAGTCGATTAGGGAAACGATGAAAGTTCGTCAAAATATATTTTTAATATGAAAAAATCGGATGAAAACCGATTCGGTGAAATGTTTATTAGACAGCCGTTCCGATACGACAATCTCCGAAAGTAAGTATTTATTTTCTTGGGTATTCAGTCGATTCGAACTTAATTTAAATAATTTTGTTGAGTTACCTTTAAATTTTGAAACACATTATTGGATTTGGATGAGACCGATGTAACGCTATTATAATGAGAATTTTGCGAACATTGTTTGTGCGTGCCACAGAAGGGTAAAAGTAGTTGCGATTATCGCGGCCAATACAAATGAAATAGTTCCTGTACAAAAAATGGACAATATATTAACGTAATAAGGGACATAACCGGATTTACAATTGTATTGTATAATTCTTATCACAAATTACTTCGACAAATTAATAAATGCACAAGTCATTGTAAAGGAAAATGTAGAAAACAATTACGTGTTTAAGTTAAACAGGAAAACAACCGTGCTGCAAATACAATTTTTTTTATTAGATTCTATGAGTGGTGAATGAATAATTGCTTATCAATCAATATTCGTTTCAAACATGAAAAGCTTCAGAAAATTAGTGGACATCTGAAAGAATTCTGCCGTTCATTCACTGTGGTTCATAAGTACTAAAGTTTTTATCAAAATTAAAAAAAAAATTAATAAAGTTAATTTTGTATCAGAAGAGTTATTTGACTTTATAGACGCTAGAGAATTTAGGAAATAAATCTGTTACATGCAGCAAATTCTCGATATCCTTTATGTCAGAACTCGTATACTGATGTTAATATACTGGCAGTAAGCTGATAATATCAGTGATAAAGTCGTCAATTTATCAGACTATTTAGGTAGACAGTTTATTAAGATAAAGCAGGTTCTGGAGATAGTACTTTCTATTATACAACTCGCCATTGTTCCAATATAATGGATTAATATTTATGTATTTTCCCCGGATACTAAATAGAAATATCAGTGACAAAAAAATTGCAGTTGGCAAATTAATTGGGACTGATAATTGTTCGCTTGTGCTTACTGATTAATCAACTTTAAAAAAATTTCATTAAAAGCACCTAAGCAAAGTAAGCCATAGTTTTAAGAAACTGAATATTACCCACTTTCATCTCCCTAAGATGGACATTGAAGACTTCACGATCGGTGCTCTGATAAATTTCCGTTCTTACGTATAGTATTGCAAGAAATTATACAAGGATATATAGAATTAGAGAAAGCAGATACTTTAATAACCCAAAAAACAGTCTTCACTAAAAAAATCGATCTACGGGGGACAATATTCCGTTGGCCTATCCGAATGCCCTATACAATGCGTGTAATAAATACACCGTACAGGAATAATATATGACGCCATTAAAACGATAACTTACTCTGACAGGTTAAACTCGATTAACAAATATTAATTATTATTATGTGCAAATTCGAGTTTATCTTTTGCATGTGTATTAACAGGTCCTGAATAAATCAACTGTAAATATTCTAGAGGCAATTTATTATTTGGATTTCCCATGTTGAGAGCAGATAGAATGCAACTTGGCTGGGCCATATCAGTCTCCCCACAAATGATATATTAGTTTCCATCTTTTAAATAAAGATGCAGAACAAATTAGTACTACTGCTCTTCATATATTATACAAATAGTTTCCGGGACGCACACGTTTCGTTTTCCTGGGGTTTCTTGAAAAATGTGCACCTATTTTTAAAGTGTACTTTATAAGAATTAAATGGGACCAACATTGATTCAAGAAACCCAACGTGGCAAACACAGGTCGACTCCCTCTGGGATCCAGCCATCCGAGAACTATACAAAAAACGCCTCGAAATATATTTTTTAATGAACCAGATTGGTGATCTAGATGACAACAATACCATATGGAGTAAACTCAAACCAAACATCAAAACTTCAACCATAGAAGCTGTTGTAACAGTTAGACAGGACGGAAAATAAAACTCATTGGTTCTGCGAGGAAGTTAAGAACCAATGCAAAAAAAGAGAAGCGTATATCAAGCATCTAACAAGGTGAACAGATGAGTGGTACAATGAATAGAAACCGATTCGGACTGAAACTGGCATATTGATCAGCCAAATTAAAGATGGATACTAGGAGAATTTTTCAAAAAGATTAGAGAGGGATTTCTACAGAGTTCAGAAGCAGATGTAGCGATTCTCTAAGGAGACAAAAGAAAGAAACAAGTGAATTAATACCCGTTAATCAGATAGGTAAGGAAACATGGACCAGCTACTTACAAGATCTATATAAGGGTGGGGAAGCAGCAACACCACAAGCCCCGCCCAGTATCGCAATTTAAAATTGTATTGTATTACGATAAATGAGTCCGACATTAGAAAAGCACTAAATAAGCTCAAAAATAGGAAAAATGAGTCAAGATGATGTCACTAACGAACTTCTCAAGTATGGTGGCGAAAGATTGATTCATGAATCTAAATTCCTAACGCAACAAATATTTGAAAATCAAAAAATTACTGACGAATGGAGAAAAATACGACCGTCCTGCTTTATAAGAATCGCGATACAAAGGAGCTTGGGAACTACAGAAAATAAAATTTAATGTCTTCCACGTGTTCGTTATTAGCTAGATAACCGAAAAGTCTATAGAGTACAATAAACCAGCACACTTCTGTTTTACGGACCTGGAGAAGGCGTTTGACCCGATGCGTTTAAAAGATATAGTGGATCTCCTGTATGACGGACAAATACGGATTTTTATCATTCGAACTATTGAAAATATTTACCGAAATAACCGAATACAGTCAAAGATAGACAACAAACTCACAGAATCAATTATGGTAGAAAGGGGTATACGACAAAGAGACTCACTGAGCCCATTACTATTCAACATTATTAAGGACGAAAGAATAAGACAAGTTCGCCGGAAAAGCGAATATCAAAAGGGAGGTTGAGAGGTAAAAATCCTATGCTACGCTGATGATACAGTTTAGATAGCGGAAAATGAAGATGATCTGTATATGCTTCTTTATACATATAACACAGTTACAAAAACGCTCAGGATGACAATATCAATATCTAAGACAAAATGCATAACCACATCTAAAACACCTCTGAGATGTAAATTAGTGGGAACAGAAAAAAACAGAGGTAAGAGCACACGCAATCAAAGCAACCAGAACGGTTGCAGTAATGAACTGCACAATATTTCGTCGCACCTGGAAACAGAAATAAAAGCCCGTATTTACAAAACTGCTATTAGACCCATATTGAGACTGTTTGGCTCCGAAACATCAAAAACAAGCCAAATTATGGAAACAGGAAAGGTGAAGATAATTCAAAGAATAGCTTGAAAAATATTGCGGGACAGGGAAAGAAGTATCAGACATTATAAGACTGGGTGCTGAGTAGAAAAATTGAATGGAATGACCATATCACACGCATGACTGAGGGACGAATAGGGACGATTGCCAGAGAAAAATCACCTTCGGGGAGACGAAGCACAGGAAGGCCACGAAAATGTTGGAGTGACAACCTCCCTCCATAAAGCGATTTACGATGAAGAACAGTGCCCAATTGGACGAAAGAAGAATCAGGAGAAGAACTTGGCAAATATCATTAAATATCTTTATTACCTTTTTAAAATTCCATTTGAACATCTCATCATATTCGCATTCCTCACGTGCAATAAAATAATATTCCTTCATTTTAATAAACAAATCGGTAGAAAATCGTAAATCCTCATATAAGTCTTCTGCTATTCATGACTGGCAAATAATTCCAAAGAAATAAAAAAACATCTTGAAACCCATCCAAAAAATTCCAGCTCGCTAGCAAAGCAGCTGGATCAATCGGTAATATTATAACGAGAAGCCCCGAGCGTGGATCCATCAGCTCTGTCTTGGAAAATTCCAATTTTCCTCGTTGAGCGATTTTCCCAAATTGTTTCTCCTATAACGTAATACGACGTTGCCGTTCAGCCAAGTCATTTCGTGCCAAATCCCACATATGACTTGTTAATGTCTGATTCAAAATTGGATTTGCCAAGTCGACATGCATATATGATAGCTTTGGGTTTTTGCGTCTGTGCTAGCTAGATAAAACCAAGATTTTCGATGCGATTAAAGAAGATAATCTAGCTACAATACAGCTTGCATTTCAAATGGGTTAAAAATTTCGATCTATCGGCATTATTACGTTGAAGGGATAACCGCCGAATACTGTTATATTATAAACAATTACAAATCAAATTCATTCCTGGGTTTCAGTCTTTGTGTTTTGTCTCTATTTATCAATCAAAATACGTTTCGGTGTATTTTTCCACCATCATCAGTTATTATGTGTAGCGTTGTTGCTGCTTTAAGCCTTGACATGCATTTCAAAATGCATGCCAAGGCTTAAAAGCTGAAGAAAATCACAAGCTCTTTCTTAAAAATATGAAATATCTTAGAAAATGGAGCTTGGTTGATTAAAGGATACTGTGAAAATCGTGATGAAAGAGAGACAGTCGAGACTAACAGCTTCAACCAAAAATACAAAAAGTGTGTTGCTTATTCTAATCCCAGAACAAAACCAAATGTTGCAAAATAGTGCAATTGGGCATTAAATTATTAGTTTGAAAAATACCAGTGCTTTAGAGCTAAAAAAATGCACAAGTGTTCAAGATAATATATTTGAGTCAACATTTATTTGCGTGGTAAAAATTGGGCGATGTGTCAACAGTGTTTGCCTCGTTTGTTTTGCTGTTTGTTTTTGCATTGGGGTATCTTTCGATCTAGCCGATTTGAATTTCAAAAGTAATTGTCCTTTTCTCGAATAGGCCGTGTTTATCGTTATTTTCTGGATATACGAGAAGGCGTATACATACGTATTAGATTTTTCAGTTGGTTCGCATGTTTTCCGAGATTTATCGCCGATTCTAAATTCCACATCTTAAGCCAATTTAGAATGGCCTTTTTGGAATTGTCTATCGATAACATTCTCTCGAGTGCCGTATAGAAATGCCGGGCGTGTATTGCTGTACTGAATTCAAGGCTTTAAAAAGATGTATGCAACATCTAATTGATACTTTGGTGAAATTTCCATTATATTCAACTTTAAAAACATTTTCTCGATACATTTGATTGATTACAAATTGATGACTGATCTATGAAATTCTAAATCTGTTCCTACGAATTTCCTGCATATAATTTGAGCGTTGATTGACTAGGAACATATGGGAAGATCCAATATTTCTGAAAATAAATCATCATTCCTGTCCAGTCCCTATTCGCCTGCAAGTTGTCAAATTTATATAAATTATGTACATGTGTGATACCCCTATTGATTAATGCCGAGACTAATAGCGACATATTGTTTATAGCTAATTGATCCATCAGACAAGCATTCCAAATTGGATCAATGCTTCTATGACCAATTTGATGTCACATGAACTATTACGATGTAATTATTGACTTGCGTATTGAAAAATATGCTTAAAACGACAAATTTTTATTTAACGAGAGTTATTCTACTCCTCAATATTCGTAAACAGGACAGATAGATCTGGAGAAATTCTTTGTGGCTTCTTTTTCAGAAACTTGATGTTCAGGTAATATACTTAATTACTATAATTTTGATATATCATGAATTAGTATTGAAACTGTTGGTTAATACTAAAGAAAAACTTATATTGTCCGAGTCAACACACAACTTTTCAAAGTGTAAAAGTTTAGAAAATCTGAAACGTTTGCCAAATGATGTATGGTTAAAAGCATTTTCCTTAGTTCATTAATTTGGAAAATGTCACCGTCATTGGCACCTATTTCCATAAAAATAATATACACAAATCTGCATTATTGTCCAACGTCTTAACCATAAACATCACCCGCATACTCAATTAATTTATTGTTTTCATTGTATTGTATTTTTGCGTTGAGTTAACTAGACTAGAAGTTAAAACGGTTAAGAAGTACACAAGCATTGCCTCAAAATAGATGCTTGAATCAAAATACCCTACAGTAACATTGTAAAGGACTAAATCCAAATTACTTATTCCCATCAATCAACTAACTCAGGAACTGTAATCTGTAATTTCACCCACAATATAGCATCGAGACAATCAGTTAAACATCGTTTAATTGTTCATGACACTAATTTGCATAGGTCTATTGATAGCAAATAACCAATTTTACGGGTCTCTGGCAAACGGTCAATGCAGGTGAAATTATACATTGGTTTGCTATTACCATAAAAGAGATTAGACACATTTGCAAAAATCTCTGTGGAATAAATCGACTGCAATTTGATCACAGTTTATGTTAGTAAAATTACAAATTAAACGATTTTTATATATGTGACTATCACAAAAACGCTAATTAAATACATCGGGCAAATACATTAAAATACCAAATAAAAGCGACCGGAATAAATGACCAAACGTTTACTAGCAAAACTTTCAGATTGTCACTCACCAAAATGATATTGCACAAGATAGAATTAAGATTGAATATATTCTGAAACCAGCACATTGTTCAATATTAAAACACTAAAATATTTTTTGTATTTCAGGTTACGGCAGCATTGCCCCCAAAACAGCACTAGGCAAAGCTGTAACTATGGGCTACGCTATGTTAGGTAATTACACATGATTAATTAAAAATCCCAATATTGCAAAGAATCTAATCAATTTTTCGAAACAATAAAAAAACAAAGTATATATCTAATTTGAAATATTTTATTTATTAGGTATTCCCCTTACTCTACTATACCTATCAAGCGTCGGCTCTATTCTAAGTAGGGTAGCAAGAGGAGTGTTCTCAAGAGCTCTTTGCTGCTGCCTTTGCTCTAATTGTGGATATTGTTGCTACGACGAAAAACGGATGGCAGAGAAGGAACGAAGAATGAAGCGAAAGAGGCAACAGGTAATCGAAGTATGTTTTATCAAATTTATATGAATAGTAGAAAGTATAATCTAAATGTGCTTGTGCCTAATAGAATATAAGTTGGCTTTAGCTTTCTTTGCATCTATAATTCAACAATGATAAGAGTCAGTTTTAAGAATTGTTTGTTATTACAAGCCTTTGTTAGAAGCACCAAGGATTCAGACCATGTACACATGGACATCTTAAAAATTATACTTCGCGAATTAAGTTTCTCCGTTAAAATTTTGAAGTTAAAGTTTGAGAAAGCGATACAGACAACAATACATTTTTGCAAAATTTTTTGAACATGAAGTACTAGATGAACACTATCTAGTGTATTGAAGCAATAAAAATCATCTAAGCTAATTAATTGAAGTATTAGTTAAGAGACTCTCAAGTTCCAAATTAAGTGCTTCCTCTATGACGAACCACTTGAGTTTAAAGATGATCAGTGAATGCAAGAGAATTACTAACTGGGAGGGTTTAGGATCTGGAAGGTATTAAACATTTTACAAAAAATTACTTTAATGATTGCTGGCAAAAGACTTATAGTTTTTTAACAAGGTTGGAAAGGTATCAAAAGAGTATGGAATCTCATTTTTTGCACTAAATAAACTCAAACTATTTCTCAAATTTTAAGTATTACTCGAAATGACTCAAAATGGAAAAATGGCAAGACATAGACATTTTACACAATCCAACCCGTTGAGCCAAATTATTAGCGGTTATCAAAGCCTAAGAAACGCCCTTGGAACTTTTTTATTTTCTCAGCATAATCATTTTTTCTCGAAAATTTCATATGAGCAGAGAAATCAAAAATAGTTTTGATTTTAAGAAAGCACTTATTGCTTGAGCCATTATTTCTTTAAAAATATACAGAAAGGGACATGAGCGCACGTCACTGGTTTTAATAATTTTGGTTTATTATGTGATTCAATACCGTGTCCGTTTCCGAGAAATCATAAAGTCGCATTTTTTCTTAAATTTTTAATTCCCTGTTGATACACTAGATAATAAAGGAAGCGTTTCCGGCGTTTACAAGAACTTTTTTGCATAAAATTAAATTTCCTTATGCATAGTTTTGATTTGAATTTAACCCGTAGCACCATGCATATAGCAGAGCGTTTACAACGACACCTAATTTTGCCTTGTTTACGTAGATAGAATGTTGAAGAAAATGATCCACAATCAACGATTTTAGCACAAGTCGATCGAATATTAGGTGTAGTTCGTAACATAAAATCTGGTCTAATTTCCCTTAATTTCTGATTAGCAAGTGATGGAATTTTATTTCAACGAATGATGGCGAATAAACTAATTGGCTTTTATTTGTTGAAATCAAGAAAACACCTTTTCCAAATTTGCTGAAGGTTGTTATTTGGATGTTTAGTTTATAGTCGCCTTTTTATATATTTCTGAATGAAAAGTAGTAAGAACATGGAGAAAACCTATTTTACGGTAATATTATTCAAACTCTATTTACCTACCCCAATATTTTACTTAAAATAGATAACTCCTTTGTATAAAAACCTCACGAAATTATATATTTTTCCTTTTAAAAGTAAAACTGACCATTTGCTCGATTTGTTATCAAACACACGCAAAACGATGTTTCTATTTCTTATTTATTTAGGATTTTAGAGCATTTCATGACAAATGGCGCGGCGATAATTTGGCAAACGCTTTTCAAACTTGTTCAAACAATAATTCTTTGTTCCTTGTTTTTACCTGTTTTTATTGTTAAATAATGTCCCGTTGTTTTGCCATAAATTTGACAAAGTTTCTGGAAAATCATAATACGTTAAAGCCTCACCTTTATACTGGATTCTGCTGCAATGAATTGGTAACAATACAGTTTCATGTTCTAAGATAAATATGACTTCGCGAATTCAATTGAATCCAGGTTTTAACAACTATTAAAACATAACGACACTGAGTCGACTACAGGGCGAACCTAGAATGATATCGTAGAAACAAAATTCCACCAACTGTAGATGTCATTCTATTGGAATTTAAATCAGCTCACACTGTAGACGCATTAATCTGCAATAAAAGTAGTTCTTCTGTCTTCAAGCCGGATATTTTCTTTGCAGCTGGAGTTGCAACAGCAATTAGGTCTGCAAGAGCCATTCTACGTGCGTTCCAATTCAAGTTACAGCAACAACATCCACTCACCCTGTAGAGATAGTGCTGGCAAAGAAATTGACAGTCTAAGTGGTACTGACAACGAATCGAAGAGCTCTATTCATGGATGGAGTATCCTCGCTCCCATCCTACTGTGCCTAGTTATGATGTTCATATACATTTGCATAGGCACTTTTGTATTGTATAAGTTAGAAAACTGGTAAGCTTTGCTTTAAATATTCCATGGATTCATATCTTGATAGCGTGGCACGGGAAGTAAAAATGACATTGAAAAAATGAACACGATTCGCAATTAATGGTTCTTTCAGGTCCCTTCTAGATGGGTTCTACTTTTGCTTTATGAGCCTAACAACTATAGGATTTGGAAATATGGTCCCGGGCTCTGACCCATTTCCAGACTACGATTCTAGTACCACGCTGTGGTTTTGCTCAATTTACATTATGTCCGGAATGGCACTAACCGCAATGTCATTCAATGTTGTTCACGATGAAATTGTACATAGGTAATTAGAGCACCTTAGTTTCACGCATTTTACGTCTACGCAGATTGTTCTTGTCCAGAATGTTAACGAAACCATGAAACTATGCTTTTTTGAGCTTTCTTGAAGGTTTTATCTAAATTCTATTTTAGAATATAATACATCTTTCAGAAGTTAAATATCAAATATTATTAAAAATGGAATTGCCCCAAACGAACAACTCACTTCATTTTATAGCAATTGCTGACGGGAATATTTCTTTAACTAGCTTGTAATGAACAAAATGACCGATTTTATTATAAGCTCAAATACGAATTCAATCGCGATTGAATACCATGCAATTTCTGTCGGATATTTAGATTAATGTACGTTCAATTGTACGGTACATTCAATATTAACTTTTAATTTATAATTTTATATTAAAGTAATATATTGGTTTAGATTAAAACACCAGCAAAAGTCAGTCCCGAAACTAAATTCAGTCAGTTTTTCCGATGATCTCAACATTAACGACCCATACAACTTAGCGTCATGACAATTTAATCCCCAGAAGAATTCGACTTTCTATCATAGAAATCTTACGGAAGAAACTCTACTCAGTACTGGAACACCAACGTCTGTTATAGGTAAGTTCAAAAACGATAATATTAGTTACGAACTAATGAATAAGTGGGCCTCGCTAGAATTGGGTTAGAACAAAATAAGGAATAATATTATAGATTTCTATACAGGGTGATTCACAACCTTATGCACACAGAGCAGGGGCGTGTAGAAGACCTCAAAACATGTCGAGCTTCTATTTAAGTTTTCTAGATACAGGGTCTTAAAGTTTCAAAAAACATTTGGTATTTTCTCTTAACTCCTACAGTTTATGAGATATTTTGCTCAAATTTTAAGCGTAATTGTTCAGATTTTTTGTGAAAGAAATTAATTTTATAATAAATTGAAATATTCGTTACATTTTTGTGTATTTTTATTTGGATCAGCTTAAAGCCGATAAACCTTAATTATTGTAAAGTAAAATAAAATAAAAAAATTAAATTTTAAATTTGACTCGTCAGCCATCCCTATTTTAACGTCAACTTGCACTTTAAGCTTTCACACAAAAATGTGAACCAAAGGACCCAAAAGAAATATAAAAAATGTATAGAAAATCACCCAGAAACCCTACACGGACTCACATTTGTGCAAATAAATCGAAAACGAAGATAGCTTCTAAAAAACTGCAAGGAATCGGAAAATTCAGTGGCGTGCCACAAAAAGTTCGGGAGGGCAAAAGGGGGTACGCCTCTAGACAAAAGAACACCCTGTACAGTTTCACAACCACTCGCATTACCGACGGGTTAAGGGTCTAAACATTAGACTACGTTATAAATGTGAGCAAAATATCTCATAAGCTGTAGTAGTTAAAGAGAACATACCAATTTTTTTTTAACTTTAACACCCTGGGTCTCGTTAAGCATGGGCCTGGGAAAAAAACTTAAATAAAAACTCGACTTGTTTTAACATTCTCTACACGCCCCTGCTCAGTGGTTATGAATCACCCTGTATTTCATTTCTGTATTATATTTCATTTCTATTACCACCTTTTGCGGAGATACAAAAGATTCATACCAATTATTTGAACAGTTGTGTAATCAATTCAAAATATCGTTTCATTCAGTCTTAAAAGTTATTTCAAAAATATCTTTTAACTTGGCACTTGGCAACTTCTCATACATTTTTTTTACTATGGGAATCGTTAGAGTTGAGACACATTAATTAACAAATTGATTTTTTACTGAGTGTTGGGAAAATAAAAGTTGATATGTTCAGTTCGTTACAATGTACCTGGTTGGTTTGGTTAGTAAATTGAATTGGTTAAAAAGTTTAATTAATATTCGAGCATTTCTGTTTCGACGTAAGTAAATTTCGCAACAATAATTACAGCTAAAGTTGCCGTTGTTAAAAATTAATCCACATCAACATGCAAGCTTGCACCGGGTATCGAGGAAACGCGTAAAAATTAGATTAATATGTATGAACACATTATTTGCACAAAAAAAAACATATGTAGGTACAAGAGAATTTCCAGGAAATACGATATCAAGTAATATCGGTTGCTTTATTAGTTCATTATTCTTTTTAAATTGAACTTTTCCTGAAACTGATAACTTAAGATATGTGCTTAATCCTTATTAAGCCCATTTCTAATCAGCATTTACCTCGCTAGACTAGAGAAAGTTTTTCTTTTAATATGCAAAAAGTATTGCAAACAAATTGTAGGAGTAATAATGCAAAAGTAATCAATCAAGTAAAATCAACTAATGCAAATATTAATTTGAATTGCAGATTTGGGTCATGAATTGGTTCCTGTTACTGTGGGTACTAAAATGCCTGAAGTGATCGATGGTAGCGTACTAATGACTGGCGTGTACACTTTACCTGAAGAGCCAGAAAATGAAGAGAACTCGGAAGGAAACACTCAGATGTAAAAAACTAACTTTAGGTTACCACTCGAAGAGTAGATTTTAAATAGTGAGAAAGTGTAGTAAAATTGAATAAAGATTGCAATGGCAAAGTTCGGGTTTTAATGGGAATTGTAAAAGTGGAAACTGAATATTTCAATTAGCGCGAAGTTTTACAATCATAATTGCACTCTATTTCAATCCAAAAACGTACCCCGTCTAAACCATACTCCGCTTCATTATTTGCTTAGTAATGTTTTCTAGGAAAAGTTATGAGAATCGTTTTAACAGAAATCGAAATATTCCAGTTGCTGAACGATTTCAATCAATTTTATTAGTTGTTGTCAGTAGAGTTCCATTAGCTTGAACAATGTCGACGTCCATTTAAACAAATTGTTTTTAACCAATCTCTGTAATTATGGCTTGAATGTTTGTGTTATTTTTTCGTTACTTAAAAATTCAGCGAAACGCTGTAGAAAAGATTTTATGGAATCTCTCAGACAGTGCGATTGAATCGTTACAACCGAGAAAACATTATATCTTATGAGGGGTATTGCGCTACTCTTTATAATTTCTGCATCATTTAATATCCTTAATGTTGTTCTAAAAAAACCCAGAAAAACGGTCAATGTGTATCTTCAATTTTTCTATATTTTGGTAAATGTATAGTAATTGCCTTTCCCGAAAGGAAATTACTGTAATCGTAGGTATTGATTTTTACACAGGGTTGATACTATTGGTTGATCCAATTAAATATGAGTGTTACATATAGATTTAAGAAAAACATTAGACTTTATTGATTAGTTTTAAGTCTTTTTAGGAAGCTCTATGTATTTTAATATCTTTATATTTTTGAACATATCACTAACAAATTTTGGAGTTTGAAAAAAATGTTCCTGGGCGCGATACCATAACTATATATATTATGACAACAATGACTAATACATTCTCTCAAATTTCATTCGATAGTTAACTCGTAACAATTTAAGCACGGTTGTTTGTTAATAAATTTTGTGTTTTTTAATTAAAAATTATATTATCTCATCACAACAACATGTAATGTTGACCAAACCTTCTCAACTTTCCCATAAATCATACACTCACAGTCACCAAACAATTGTGATTGTATTATACTTAACATGTATTGGGTTTTAAGATTGCAACTTAACATTTGAAAACATGCAAGTATTGGGATGTAACGTAATTTCGTTTTTTCATCAGCTTTATTGCACTTTACTTTCAACAGTCCAATTGGGCAATAAATAAACGTATTTATTAATTTGAATTTTTTAAGTTTTATCAATGGAATTAAATATTTTATAATATAATAGGTATAATATAAATTATACTTCTTAATTAAACCGAGTACCAAAAATGACTTCCACAAACATTTATACCAAAGGGCGAAATTATAGAATATTTATTTAAAAACTGTTTAATTTGATGTGCCAAAAATTGTCCGTGTACACATCTCTTTGACGAAATATGATTGGGCATTGAAGTCCGATGTAATCATTTGCGCGAAAAGTAACCGAGTAAGCAACCGTCAAGTGTAAATAACTTTGAAAATAAAGGAAAAAGAATCCGCACTTCCACACAAGGTAAACATAAATGAAATTCTAAATAAATGTATCGCTAATTTTATTATTTCCAAAGGAATAATGTAAAAATGTAAGAATACTAATATAAATGCTATAAAAGTAATTGTACGATTACTCAAAAATAATAAACCTCGAAGTAAATCCTTTTTAAAGAGTCGAAAAGTTTTCCGGAAGTGTTGCATGGAAAACTGGTCTCATGGTTTTGTAAGAGACTATTTATAGGCAATTTTGTGCCTATTCCAAATTGTCTAACGAATCGTTGGCGAACTATTGTAATTATTCTAGTTTGAGAGTCGCATAATCGGATTAAAATAACCATTCTTGTTTGTCCTGTTAGCCGATTAAAATGACTGAAAAACCACATATGAAACGGAAAAATAATTGAAACCTAAGAAATGTTATTCTCTGAATGATGAGATCACCAAAACCATACAACTTTTGAGTGCTGACGAAAAATGATTTTGTTCAGTATCAAATGAATACGAACACAACTGCTAAAAGCAGAAATCTTCATTAAATACCGTTTAACAAAATCAATTTTCAAGAATTTCAACTATTACCAAAATTTTTATAAATAAATTCCTTGGTTCATTTTATTGTAAATAATTCACAGGTTTTCGATGCGAGAATATGCCGAAATAATTGGTAAATGTTGAACATTTGTATAAAGAAATAAATAAATGAAAATTGCAAATAGTGTTTCTTTCACTTAAACCACCAATAATTATAAAATAGAAAAAGGGCTATACGCAAATCGTTTTAATGGTAAAATGAAGGCAAGTTGAAATGAATGTGAGCTTCTGACTAAAACTTTGAAAATGATTTTGTAATGAAAAAGATTGAAGAATTAGTGAGGGGAGTAAAACAAACAAAAAAACTATTTTATAAAACTCATTATATCCAACAAATTTATTTGACAATTGTTATATGTTTTGCAGTTTTGAGTATCCCATCCTATTTTTTCCGCTTCCTTATACTCAGCAAAATAACTTTCGTCACCATTATTCGTTGACGATGGCCTTAAAGATCATAACATTTTTAAATAGAGCGAGTTCTTAAAAGCAAAGAAAAATAAAACAACTTACGTGAACAGCAAATGAACTAAATCGCCGATAACGCCGTTAGCGTGCAGAGTTGTGTAGGCTGCTGCTTCGCAGATAGCTTTTAAAATGCACTCTTTCCCTGGATACCCTTTTCTGAAAAATAAATTGTCGATGTCATAGGCATTAATTCTAAACCCTAGTAATTCCTCCCGAACTAATTTATTATCCCCATTTTATTCCCCAAAGTTTTCGTATTTATTTCATATGCCCCAAGGCATATCAAGTACAATATTAATGTCACTCTTTTGTGTTTATTTATATTGAAGTCACTCGAATGTGTTCGGAAATAAAATTAATTGCGATTGATTCAATAAAAGGAACAAGGCTTGGTGTGACAAATGTTATAGATTTTCAACCAACGCACTTTTGTTGCTTAGATATTCGGAGTGAAAACATTTTATTTAAAGATTGATATTTTATAGACTGAACATTAAAACTTTAAAGCTTTCACATAATTTACGTAAAGAACCGAGTACGGCTTATTTAACGTATTAAAAAGTATACAGATGATATTAGAGAAGCAATGCATTTTTGTTTTTATGGCCCGATAATTCTAAAATTCCAAAAAAATCCACTTTAAACATGAATATTGTTCAAAGTTTTTCATTTTGTATTTATAAAACTTCAAAAATTCAGCATACAAAGTGACTCATCTTACACACTACATTTTTATGGTTCTGGATAATGTCGGAATCCGAAGAATTATAAAATCAGTTGCATAATAATAATGTTTAAGTACCCTTTCACTTCCCCCCAATAACACTAATGATGTAACGAAATAGCATGCTGAAAAGGGTGACTTTTGGTTTATTCATTTCTTTTCAATTATTTTGAAAAATGCAAAAGAAAACATTTCTAACTCTAACTAACGCTAAACCGTCAATGATGCAAACTATGCAATTTCCTAATCCATTATTTTATCAATTAAATATTTATTTACTTGATAAAAAATAATTAATGAAGTTAAAAGCTGAAAACTTTTTATTAATTAAATAAAAAGTTTTCAGGTTTAATCTTCGTCCGAAGGCCAAAGATGTAGCATAGTTACCAAAACTCGCGTCAGGTAAAAAATTTTCGGCAAAGTACTAAAACTCAGTTATTTTATTTTAATGTATTATTTAAGGCATGTTAATTGGAAACTAAGCATGCGAAACTTTTAAATTTTTTAAAAATTTTAAATAATGAGAAATTTACTTACAACAACAATTTTTCTTTGATAGACTCGTACAATGTCTTTCTACCAAAAGCCCTGTCGCTTACTAATGGAGGAAACTCATAGGTTGTTGTATTATCTGGCAAACTGTAATATGCTTCGAAGAAAACTGCATAAAATAAGTCTATATCTGGAGAGTCTGGAACTGGTAAAGCCAAAGCTGCATAAATCTGAAACAATCAAATTATATTTTGAAAAGTATAAAATGGCCTGACATTGTTTTGGCAACAAAATACAGATCATTTAGTACTTTTTTGTGGGTAATGTGAATTAATTACGAAAAAAATATTGAAATTGAAAAGAACGACACTCGAGTTCTTTTATGGCAAGCGTAAAACTAATTTAAAATAGTAATTGTCCCTGGGAATGTAAACAAATACAGTTAAACCCTTCACTGGCTTGGAAATAATTCAGGATGGTTAGTAATGCTACAGTGTTTCACTTGATAACCAAGCTTGAAAACTTACCCCCATTCCAGACCCCGAAGGAAAATGGTATTTCCAGTTAACTACAGTATAATCATCATCACAAGTTACTATCTTAGCAAGTAAAACTACTATAAAAATTAGGAAATGCCTAAAAGTGTATACAAATTGAGAACAAAATTGTCTTACAGACAATTTAACCAAAAATAACTTACTTGCCCACAATCATTGCGATAAGACGCAGTCAAAGACTATTTTTGAAGACCCATGCATGTGGGAAATAACGGATTATGGTGATGTGTTAATTAAACATACATACAAAATGAAATAACTGTTAAGCAAATCTGATAATCGCTATTTGGACTTGGATTTATTGGTGTTTATTATATTGCGATGAACAAAAGTAATAATTAAATTTGCCAACAACATTTATTCATATTGCATGACGATATGCAAAAATGATTGCTAAAAGAGCAAAAGGGTTCGAGTTCTGGAAAGTTTTATACCGCATTTGGTTAGCTGGCCTTTTGAAGAGATAAGTTGATTATTTTCAGAATATATCAACTAAATTAAACATTTTATAGATGTGTTATTAGTCAATAATTGTGTCTTCATTAGAACGCTTCGCATATGAAAAACTATTGACGATACTTTTCAGCAGCTGCGGTACCGTTTCCAATACCATAATTAAACAGCATATTTGTTTATTGTAATTAGCATGGAGTGTTTTCCGTATTTTTTTTCAAGATATATAAACGCAAAATTATCAATTGAAACACTATTATGGAACACTTACATGACGACACCACTATGACATAACAATCGGCTGACTTAAGATCGCATACATTACGAGTAATTGATATCTATAATTTGAAAATTAAAACAAACTTTCACAGTATTTTAATGTGTGTAATTAATGAAACTCAGTCCGTTCTCTTGACTGGCTCCCTATACTAATCGGATCTTTCGAGTGGAAATAGAGCGGTTCATATTTCTTTCATAAAATAAATTTGAAGAAGTAATAGTGTATTAGGTATTATTAGTTACAATGTCATTAATAAGAATCTAAATGATGTTTTACTTTCCCATTTAACAAAACTATAGTAAAACAAGGTATTTTTGGTGGAACTATTCTCAAGACGAGGATCGAATATATCAAAGTTCAATATTTCAATATTTACGTTATATTTATTTGAAAATGTTAATCATAAGACAAGTGTAACAATTAGAGATACAATATGCTAACTTAATTAGCAAATGGTTGTTAAAGGCATCCGTACGCTTATAACAATTTTACGCAAATATGTAAATAAAAAAAATAAATTATCATTACGTCTTCTAAAAAATGTAGGTGTCAACGTTATAATAAAAAAAAATAGATAAAATCTAAAACATGTCCAAGAACTTTATCTGATTTTAGTGCGTCGACGCATTACGATCGTAATGCGTTAAATACTAAACAGTTTTTTGGAATATTCGAATGTTTATTTAGTTTCATTGTTTTCGTATTTACCTACTTGTACCCTTATTATTACATAAATAAAGCTAACTGTGAATGTTGCTTATTATTCTTTTAAATGGAGAATCTCTAAAACGACATCTTATATAGCCCCTAAGAAATATTTCGCAGTATTAATTTTCACATGTGCATCAGCAGCTTGGTGGAAGGTGTTATGAGTGCAAATTATGATCGCATCTTTTCTAATCTTATAGAAAAGCAGTGAATTTCCAGCAGTAAAATGTGATCCTAAACAGCAATTCAACAAGAACTACGGCTCAGAAAAAATGGTGGTAAATGCAAAACAGCGATCAGTTCGAATGTGAGAACCTGATTGAGTAAAACAGTACCAGCTTCTCTGGTAGATAGATATTTTTGTATAAATCGCACAAACTGAGTTAAATTGGAAAATAGTACTGACGTTAATCGTAGGGACTCGAATCAAAGTAGCTAATAGTTTAAATGATCACATTTGTAGGAATAAGTACTAACAAACACTCTAAAGTAACGACACAACACCATTAGTCCAAAAAGACCGAAATCCACACAAAAACACTAAGACACCGAAAAGTCCGAAAAAAACTCGCTAAACTCAAACATAAGACATTTTTTGCAAGCCATGACAAACGTAACAAAAAAACGAAAATTTAGGCGTGACATCTGTGAAGCGAATGGACAATGAAATAAAAATTTCGCTCGAGTGCTACAGGCATCTGTACCGGTTTGCCAGTTGCTGTTAATTCAAGCCGTTCGCTGGTAGATGCGCGAAGCAATTCTGACATTTCGCTAGCATGGTAGCAAACCATTTTTGACATAACATATGTTTGTGATTCAATGCGGGCTGCCTGCATATCCTTACAAGAAAATAGACACCGGCCATCTTTCTAGAAAACAGTGTTTGATTGATTTCACCATCAAAATTTAATCAGTTTTTAATGTCAGAACCACAGTCCGCCTTACTACTTAGGAAACAGCTAGCAGGTCAGTAAGAAACGAGGAGAAATAGCCTTGCAAAGCCACGAAACGTGCCCACAAAATGTCGATTTTCTCATTAAAAAAAAACCATCATGCAGATCATTTTTTGAGTCATTTACCCTGCGATTTAAAAATAAGTTCCCACACCCTGTTCACTAGTGCCTCAAAGCTATCTTACTTGCACCGTGTTAATCTAGAAATATATTTTGAATTAAACACCTCCAGCCCTTCACTTAATGGCTTAGTATTAAACTTTTGTGGTTAAAGTCTTCAACCTTTGTGTACTCGTACATCGATATATGAATCATAGAAATTCTAGAACCCCGCAGCAAAAGGGTAAAATTTTCCAAACTGCCTCCAACGCTGATTTTTGATCTGACAAAACCAAGCTTTTACAACCTTCATGACAATCAGTACGCAAATTTCACAACTCTCATTGGAACACTTCCTGCAAGAAAGTATTTTTTGCATTCGCAAGGTTAAACTTATTATGTGATATCAGGGTTATTTAGTGTATTTTAATTGAGTAACTCGTAAGAATTTTTTTTTATTTATCCAAACATCCACAGGCTCGTCAAAATTAGACTCGAAAAAATTATGCTTTGTGCCAAGTTCTGAGATCTCAAGGTTCAATGAAATTCATGTTCCAACACATAACCCCAATATTTAAACATGTTTTTATTTATTTAAATAGCAATTCATCATTTCAACAACGATGTCTCACTAACATTGTATTCCCTAAAAGGAATGTGCTTTTGTTTACAGCTTTGAAAATCACCAATTAAATTGAGACCTGGATACTAAAAATCTCTAACATTTTGCCATTTTATGTTCCAGTATAGGAGTATTCTATTCCACCCATCAATAGATCCCTAAATTATAAGTTGTAATCATAAGTTATTGTTTCAGAATTAAATAAAAACCCAGTTGAGGGTTTTTCTGCGGGCCTAATAGACGATAATGACATTTATAGATGGGAAGTTCTTATTATAGGCCCTCCTGATACCTTATAGTAAGTATAGATAGGTATTTGCTCATGATGAATAATGCCTTGCCTACTTATCTATTATCTCATTTGCTCATACAATGTACTTCACTAGGCATTTGCAAAGTTACTAAATAATAATCGGTTTTATTTTTATATATTTCGCACTGCTATAGATACTTCAAGTCAAACCCCTTTGGATTGAAAGTTTAAAACAGTGAAAAATCCATACACAAGTAAATAGGGTAGTTCTTATTAATCAATTAAGACTTGCAATTTTGGCATTTTAGGCGTTACGATAGAGTTTGAACATATCGTTACCCTAATGCTTCCAAATTTAATAAATTGGTACAGGTGTTTTATTTTTATGTATATCTGCTTTTTATTTCTGTGTTTTATTATATCTTTTCCGTTAACACGTAATGACCGATTTTTGGTTTTGTGACCCAAAAATATAATTTCAACTTTTTTAGATAATCAGAATTAGGTTAGCGAAATATTCAATAGACCTTTTGACTTGAAATTTCTTGGGCAACATACCGATCGTTCACTCTGATGTCTTTAAACATACCGTAATATCATCAAGATATTTCACGGTGTGAAAGCAATCCATCAAAGTGCTCATTCATACGTTTGTGTCCAAAGCAAACATTTTTATTGGTTGCTCTACGTATTTTTTTCTTTTTACCTCAATTTGTTAGTAGCCATTTATCTACATAATGACTGCGAATTTAAACAACTGATATTAATTGGTTTTCAAATGTAGATGTTTCGAATATCAACACTTAACTCTAATTTCAGATGGAGAAATATAACTGTTTTATAAAACTAAATGACACTAAGGAATTGAGTTGACGCCGATTAGACTAGACCATGTGCCTGACCAACGTAACTTTGTGTACTTTTACATCGATTACTGCTAATAAGAATTTACTTACATTAAAATTGGTAATAATAATATTATCGAATAATCGAATTGTTTTCAAAATCGAGAGAGTAAATTGAAATAAATCAATCACGCTGTTAGGTGCATTAGCAATCCAATTCTCGATAGAACATCCGAAAACTAAAATTATAAATTTAACTATCGACGGGATGAAATATTAGCTCGATTTTTTTGTAGATAACATTGTTAATAGGATCGAAAAAATAAAATGGCTTAATTAAATGTGCTAGTGTGTTTTTTCAACGGGTTCTTCCGATCTTGTCATCAGTTCACTCAAATAAACGTGGTAAAAAAACCTTTGGGATTGTTTCAAGCGGAAATCCCCTCATCCTAGGGCATAAATTAGATCTTGTGTAAATACTCTCAGACCTTTATCAATTGCTATTTGAAATTGCCAATTATTCCATAAAATGAATACAATCAATGAAATCACCTTATTTATCTGCCTTCTATATTATTTAATTCTTATTTGCTTCTTTTTTCCTCTCTTTCTGGTCACACCTCAAATTAAATCTTCCTTTGATTCTAAATGGCTACATCACTTCTGTCTTCGCGCGAATGTAAACCCCATTATGGTGTTGCAAAAGTACAGTCGGCGACACATAAAAGTAGTCGATTAAATAATTGTTGTGTAAATCTGACTTTTTACCTCGATCTACCTTTGCGTAAATGATATAATACTGACAAGTAAATTTTCCTAGAATGAAATGAAAGACTAATATCCTGCAGGTACTCTTAATTAAACATTACAAAAATAATAAATAAAACGCAAAATTATGCATTTTTAAGCTCATCTTTCAGATTTGAATAACTATGAAGTTTTACTTGGAAGCTATTGCCTATTAACGGCCTAGAATTAAAATATTTTTGAAAACGTAATCTTCCTATATGAAATCCAATACGAATTTATAAAAATTCACAATAATTTGTTACACAAACCCCAACCTTTGTTTTGTTTGTCAGTTTTACGTTGAGGGCCCTTTTTCATAAATACCAAGAGTGGTTAGTCTTCTTGCACAATTTTTGTCGCACGAGATGGCAATTTGTTAAAAACTATTTTCTGTCTCAGATGTTTGGTAAATCACCTGCTTTCTTTTAAGAAGTCCTACATGAAAAATAAGAAAGGAAAAGTGGCTAATGTGTAATTGAAATAGCTGGTAAAACTCCTTAGGGGTTATTATTATTTTATTTTTATCACTTTAAAATTGTTTGTAATACCGTCTACAGCGATAAAACAACTCTGAATGAAAATTATTAATCAATAGGAACATCGCAGATGATAAAATGTGTACTTGCTACGTAATAACATATTTTTAAACA